CTGCCTGTCTGTGTTCAACTGCCTGTCTGTGTTCAACTGCCTGTCAGTTGGTCACGACTTTAAACAAGTTCTACGACTTTATAATTGAACAGTATGAGTGATGTGATAACATGCAAACACATTGATACGATAAAATAACGAAACACTAAATATCAGGTGGCCCAAAAATCTGCCAATGCCATCGCTAGAAACACTCGCAAGAGTAGCTTTTACAAACTGTCATTCAGCAACTGCGACTTGTCAGTTACAAACTGATACTGTACTTAAATGTTAAAGATATTAACATTTGAAAGTTAGATAACGATATATATATATAACTGATATTATTTTCAACAAACACTTTAACTTAAAACATTGATGACATTATTAAGTTGGTTATTAAAGAATTGTGAACTTACTGAACTGAGTGGGACATTTTACACAAAAAGCTAACAATTCAGTGTTCTGTGCCTTTCTGTATTGCCGTCTCTAATCTATCGCCGTAACGTTTTTTTTTTCAGGTCAGAGTTATCAGTTGGGATCTAGTCACAAACACCCACCACTCTGGTGTATATATATATACACACAAGTTGCAAGTTGGAGTGCCCATACAGCATTCTGCTAACTTGTTTCTTACACAAGTTGAACATTTTAACCTTGAGAAGAACCGGTCTGGATCTATCTGTCTCTCTGTCAGTCTCTCTGCTTGTCTGTCCTTCCGTCACATGGAAGTCTTCTGTTCAAGCAGCTGCCTGTTTTTCCACCGCTGGCAGCGGCTGCATGAGAGAGACAGCAACTGTGAAACAGATGCAGGTCTGGGAGTGATTGGGAAAGAAATGATTCTATCTGTCTGCTTGTCTTCTCTGTCTATCTGTTTAGCCCCTGGCACACTTTCTACCAACGCATGAGTATTCACACGGTATAAGCAGGCACGCCTATGCATGGATGCATTAATTTGAACAAAAACACCCATAAACAAAATATTTTCTCTTTCTTGTGCCCTTTCTCTCTCTGCTCTGTCTTATTCCTCCCTCCTTTCTCTCTCCTTTCATTCTTTACTTCTCCTCCTTAGACCCTTTGTTCTTCTTTTTGCCTGTGTGTCTCTGAGACAAGCAGAGACACATTCAGATAGCACATGAAATAATAATTGGCTGGTGAAATATTTAGGAAAAAGGCACATGAATAGATGAGAAATACCAAGTGTGGCAGAGGAGTGTCAGTGCCTCTTGTGTACATGTCTGTGTGTGTGTGTGTGTGTGTGTGCGTGCGTGTGTGTGTCTGCTGAAGTGAGCAGCAATGAACATAAGCAACAGCTCATTGGTTTGGGCTGTGTGGATGAAAGACTGAAGAATAGCTGCAGGGAAGAATGGAAATGTAACTTCAGCCGTCTTTTTATGACGCCCTCACATTTGCCTCTTTCTTTCTGACAGTGTTTTTGAATGTTTACCACTTACTCATTCTGCCTGCCAGCCAGTCAGTCATTCAGTTTGACAGTCAATTAACATGGCAACACTAAGTCAGTCAGTCATCCAGCTAGCCAAGCAGCCAGCAAACCAAAAGTCAGACGGTCCACTAGTGTAAGCAGTCAGCAAGTCAGACATTCAGAGAGCTAGTCAGTTAATGCTGCAGCTCACCAGTCAGCTACTAAGCCATCGGTGGATTACTAATCAGGGAAAGATTGGCAGCCAAAAGAGTCTCTGGACTCCATCCAAGCATCGCTCTGATCATTTCTTTCAATGACAAAGAAAAGAACACAGAATACAGGATTTGAGGATAGAAAATGGCCCGTTTCTCCTTCTTTTATTTTAATCAGAGAGCAGACTTAATCTGGGTGGCTGACGATGAAGTAGTTGGTTGCTTGACTTTCTGCTTGTTCTGTGGGTCGTCTCACTGCAGCTGTATTGTTGTTACTTGACTTTTTGCCATTTTACGGGTTGCCTTTGAAATGCTGCATAAAATTAAATGTAAACAAGATGAGGACAAAGCAAAGGAGGGAAGAATGTCATCTGTGGGAGGTGACAGCAGTGCTGTGCTGTTTACCGTACATGGCTTTCATTACAGCCACAAATGTTGGGGAAAAACAAACTGCCTGACACAGCTAGATGCCAAAAAAAAAAAGGGCTAGTGTGCGCGAAAGCAAACAGCGCACAGTTGCATATCCAAAAATTGCTATATACACATTAGCAAGCACTTACACAATAATAAGTGGTTAAGCATGTCCTGCCACTGCAACTACAAAATTAACGCACAAGTTTCTCATTTCATGCACATCAAAATCCAACTTTAAGACACACACAAACACTCTTATAGTCGGCCTGCCCTCATTAATGGAGCATATGTGATTTCTGTGGCCACGTATTTGGCATGAGTTTGTTTACTTGGCCGTAAAAATAAAGTGTTGCCCTACTCATGGCCAAAGAAGGAGGAAGCCCTCCCCACACACACACACACAATAACGATAATAATTCAACAGCTGCTATATTGTCATGACATACATTTCCAAAGTAGAAAGTGACTGAATGATGTTCATGCATGATGTAATAATGGTTATGAGAGCATATTTGATTTGATATAGTACTGTTACAACAGACAACAATCAACACCATCATCAACTAAACTAGAGCCAAGACCAACTTTCCCTCTTTCTCTTTCACGCTCACTCTCTCCCCTCTTTATCGTACGCTTACTGAATAAACTCTGTCTGATCTACATCCTCTAGACTACAGCCACCACAACTCCCAGGTCTGGGGAATATTTTGCAGTACAGGCACAGGCACACAAACACACACAGAGCGACAGCTTTAAGTGTAAACTCACACAACGGCAATACTTTTCTAAACTCTAGATGTTTGTTTGTACTTACATGAATATATGTCTAAAATTATGTAAAATACAAACGTACATGCATGATGATGTGAGTCTTAGCTCTGATCAGTCTTGTTTGCAGGATAGCAGTCAGACACGTCTTTCTTAACCATGAAAACACACAGTAAATCCTGTCTCTCTCTCTCTCTCT